CCCCGTCCCCGCCCCTGAAACACACACTCGTAATTTATGAGCAACTAAATATTTACAGGGTGTGGGTGGCTGGCTGTGTTTGACTTTGCCGGCCCAATGTTTGGCTGCGTTTGCCGTTTTTAACACTCGATTACTTTAAATGCCATCGCCCCTCCTTGCCGCCCCTGCATTTGACTTTGCCTGTCAATATTTGCTTTTGGCTTAACTAGCACATACATACGCCCTGCACCCCAAAGAACACCCCACATCAGCATATTCCTGGGGAGCTTCCAGCCCTGTGTTTGCCCAGCTCCTTCTTCCTTCTGCCCAACTTATGTAATGAGTATTTGGTTACACAAATCTTTGAGCTGACCCTTCCTCGATTTTCGCCAGTCCGCTCTTATTGAATGAACGCTTAAATTACTAAGCAAATGACTCATTTATCAACTGCAGCGAACGTACTCGGGATTAGCAGGACCTGTCAGCAGTCCTCCGGGGCAGATTTCATTAAAAATGATTTAAAGGACGAGCTGGACGTCCACTGGGAAACGCATAAATTAAAACGCTCGGCATCCGGCAATGATTGCCGACGTGATGCACTGCAGCCAAGTGGACATGGACTGACATTTGAATGGCGGGGCGGGCAATTTCACACATTCCGATCGATTAACTCATCGACAGTCGGGTAATTTTGTTAAAATGGCCAATGTCACTGTCGAGGATGAAGTCAGAACCATAGAACAGATAAATATTTCGAGGGGTATGAACAAACTTCAAGGATGCACTGGCTTAAAAATAAACATAATGTTCCACAGGTACCTTAGAGTCCTGTACAGTCGTTCCTGAATAAGTAAACATCTTGCAAACAATCAGATCAAAGGAGCATAGATATAAGGCCTTAGTTAGCCTTAGTTATACACACCCAGTGATACACACCCTATCTTGCATTTTGTACCCCAGGACGCAGCTGAAAGTCAAACAAATATATTTAATGCTCAGCGCTTTTAATAACTTTTAAGGTGTTCCAGATTAACTATAATAGATGATGCACTAGCCCAAAACAAATGAAGTGGATCCAGCGCGACTGGATTCCAGTCAAATTTATGATTGTTTGCATTACGCGCTTAATGTGCCTTGATTTACATTAGTTTGTGCAGCGGAAAAAATGAATTTGCAGCGATTTTCCCTGAAAATTACGCAAAATAGGGAAGAAAAAACCGAAAACGTGCCCAAGGAGCAGACGCAATATGCAAATAATCTGCAAATTTATAGGCCTTCCGTGGACTCCTTGTGCGGGATACAGCTGCGACCCGGCATTAAGGTCCTGAGTGGCATGCGGATAAGCCAGGTTATTATCTTTTATGAACTGAACTTCCGTTTGATCGGCGTAATGCCGTGCGGGGGCCGAATGATTGATGCATGTGCAGAGATGTCACAGCGAACAACATGAGCCCAAAAACTTGACATTCCTCGCACAGGGAAGGCAAAAAAAGTTTACAAAATCAAAGAGATGGGAAATCCAACTCCGCCGGGGAAGGTTTGCATGCATGTTCCTTGGGAAAATCCATTAAAACACTTGAGCCTGGCAGACGCGACGCAATGCTCTCCAAACAAGGAAAACCAGAATGCATTTCCGTTAATAGTGAGGGCGGCTTTGAAGGCTGGCAGCCACACTTAGACGCAGCACTTGGGGTTACCCTTAAACCTCCAGGACTCCCAGCCGCGCCCGGCCCCTCGAAGGACATAAAATGTTATTGATATTGCAATTTTTAGCATTTTGTAATTGAGGCAAAGTTGGTGCCTATCGCAGGCACATCAATTGTCTGCCAGATAGCAGCCCGAGCGGATAACTGTCTAAATGCCACTTGAGCATGTGTTTAAACATGCCAAGCACTTGGCTCACTCAAACTATGCAACAAGCAGCAGCAGCAGCAACAGCAGCCACAGTAGCAGCAACACAAGGAGCCCCGCAGCAACACCAGCAGCACAGCAGCAACATCTCCACCGCACGGGTTGACACTCGCCGGCATCAAAGTTCATGGGTGTCCTGGCGGCAGGGGCGTCCTCCTGTCGATGCGCTGATAAGTCCTTGTCCCCCAGAATCCCAGTCCCGAATCCCTCCCCCGTGCGGCACCCGATCCCTAGAACGCATCTTGTCTCGTCTCGAGAACGAAGGCGAGTGCCAATGTTGCCAATGTTGTTGGGTAAACTCATAATTGGAATTAATTATGCATTCGCACTTTGCGGCCAACTTTTCAAGTGGCTGGAGTGGTTAGCTGGAGTCAGTTAGCTGGGCTCTGGGTGAGTGTGTGGGCTGCTCCTTTAATTGTCCAAGTGAACGAGCCGGGTGAAGTCACCGAATCGGGGACAGGGCCAGATCCGAGGAACTTGCGGCTGACGGCAAGGGTTAAGTGCAAATTGCAGTTATCGTAAGTATTGCTCATACATAGTTCAGACCTAGCATTGTCCTTGGGTGGGTGGACGTTCCAAGTTGCAAATTTGTGATAAGAGTTGTATTTGAAGGGTAAAAACTATTTTAAAATATTATATATTAAACTTATCACTTTCCGCCTAGAACCAACTACCCATTATTGGTTGATCATAGTTATATTATTATATAATAATAATGATATCTATAAATCGTTTATAATAAGAGCCCTTTATTACACTAGATATCTTATCTCTTTATACTTTTATGCAGTTTGCTAGCCTTTTTTATCTTCCGCCTAAGCCCACTTACCCGTTCATCCCATAATATATGCTCCAAATTAAGTTCGCAATGACACTCCAACAATAGAGCTCACCTGGACCTGGTTTGCATTTGAAAGGCAGGCGACTCGAGGAACATCCCCATTTAGCAATTCTCGGCTGGCAGCCATTCTAATTTAAGTTAGCCCATTTATCTTATGGCTTTCCTCTTTGTGCGCACTTTTTCTGTTTGCCACCCCAGCCCACCATTGGCATCTCCCGCCTTAAGCAGTCCAATTTGTTGCTCCTTTATGGCTACTTATATTCCATGTCCTGCCCACACCTGAGTCCAATAATTACTGTGTGCCCACTTTGGCATTGTCCCGGCGTTTGCAGTGCGGATTTGGTCCTTCCTTGCGCCCATTTGTGGCGAAATGAATGCATAAAGGCACGGCCAAGATGTTGCGAATTAATTAAAATTTGACAGCTAATAAAACACAATCACAGCCATGAGGGAGCGATTCCACAATGGCCATTTAAGTTGCGAATTGCGGACAATTGCACGCTTCATTTCGCCTGTTCGCCTGTTTTGACAAGCCATCGGAATCGAGTCACAAAAGACAGCCAGAGACCCGCAGAAAAATGACAAAAGCTGTCGCAAATCGCAAGTCCTGCATCGTAAGTCGCGGAGAGTTGCACTCCAAAAAACCGGAACGTCTTTTATTTGTAGGAAAATATTCATTTAGTAGTGTACTTACAGAACGATGCTTTGTTTTGTTTAGAATTTGGAATACTTTTAAAAATAAGTCGATTTTATATTGAACTTTGACAAGTTGCATGCCCTTTAAAAGTTTTTTTATGGAACATTGGCTTTCAATTTCTAATTATTAAATACGAAAAGATTTTATTCGAGTGCCCGAAGTCGAACAATGGCGGGCAGCAAACGGCCGGAAACGTTCCGACATGAAGGGACTTTGTGGGCCTGGTCGCGTGTCATGAGCAAACAAGATAATGTTACAGCAGTCATCGCAAATCGGGCGCGGAAAGAGGTCCAGAAGGGCCATGAGCACTGTGCGGACACTCGGATGGAATTCGGTTTTGGCATTTTGTTTTTGCCCCAACCCCCCGGCGATTTGTACGAAAAATGCAAATGAAAACGTCTCAGCTTACGTTAAGTCCCTGTTCCAGCAATCTGTGGATGAGGATGTGGACTGGAATCCGAAACTGAGACGGAGACGGAGGGCAGGAGATGGAGATGGGATGGAGCTTAATGAAAATGCTGCCACGGGCCACAGGCTGCCAAGTGGCTGGTGTCCTGGACTGGTCTCCGTAGGCTGGGAAATGATTGATCGCCGGGCATCAATTTCCCAGAAATGTTATTGCCAGGCATTCGACAGTTGGTCGATTGCTGGTCAGCAAGTGCTTTAATTATGCCTTAAAGTTATGCCTGCTTATGTTATTATACATAGGGAATCGAACTAGGCACAAGAAAAACTATATTTGTATTTAAATATTTAGTTAGGTTAGGTTTAAATAGGTCTAATTACTATGTTTGGAAAGGAGAAGGCAAACAAATAAAATACAAGAATTACTAAGTTTTCTTCTATAAAAGCTTTTCTGGTAGTGCCAAAAAGTTCCTACAATATTCAATAATAATTAATCAGTTGTGCCAAAAAAAAGATCTTGCTTATCGCAAAGGATATAATGGTTTTGAAGGTCTTACTATTATCCAATATATTAAAATAAACTCAAATACTTTCAGAATTCTTTACTAACGAACTCATATTTTTACCCTATGGAACTATTGTTAAATTTCTAGCAGATCTATTAACCGAAATTTAAGACACTGTTTCTAAACTATTGTTCCTTTTTTGTAATTTAAATAATTCTAGACCTTTGCTACCTTTTTTAATAGTACTCGTTAAATGGGAATTTGATTTGGGTACTACTTTTAAAAACCAAAAATATTTTTTTCTTTTAATTTTTGGTAGTGTTTTTGAAAATATAGATTATCATGGCAATAAAAAAGGTTTCCTATTCTGATTATATACTGGAAGCGTAGCTGATCTTCGGCCAATCGTCGTTCGGCAGCTTTACCGTTTTCATTTATGAAAATGTCTGAAACATGTTTCGCTTGCGCAAACAGAATGCGAGTGCGAGTATGCAATAAAATTCCATTACAGCAATGGCTCGACTTAAAAACTTGGCCGAAAAAGAAGGCGAGATGAAATTTCGTTGCATACGCCAGGAGCAGTGGGGCAGGACCAAAAACAGGAGCAGGGGCACCCAGCAAGTGTATTAAAAGCCCGCAGACATTCTCCCTTTACGTGAGTGCATCGCATGAGCTTGGCCGTGTTTGGGGGTGTGTGTGTGCAAAAGTCCTTGCATATTTTATGAAACTTGGCAAAGCATTTAACAACACAGGCACACCCACAGACAGAGGCAAACTCATTACTGGAATTTATTTAGCACTTAAACCAAATGTTTCATTCGCCTCAGCCGGCTGATTTGGTGCTCATATCCGTGCATTTCCGGAGTTTGGTTGCCACTTGATGGCTGCAACAGCTTCTTGTGTTCCGTCCAAGGATCAACTTCTCGGTTTCTTGAGGATCCCGCGGGGTGAGCAGAAGGCCGGACACTCCGGGGCAGTTCGTATGGTATCCTTAATCCTCTTTAGTAGTTTGCTTTTCCGCGTGTTAAAGGGTAACTGGGAACAAGGATGCCCCTTCTCATGGACATAGCCACAGCGTGAGCAAAGATCTGCAAGGCTGTTGATTAGCAGCTCGTTTTTAGCACAGGCTTCTATTGATCCGCTGGACAAGATCTCGCTGCTGGATGAGGATGGCTGGGGAAAAGAAGGAATGGGTGCCGGAACAGGCACTTTGACTCCACATCTGGGACACTTCTCAAGAACCATCTCATCCCCGATTCCGCTCTCCCGGGACTCGCATCCCGAACACTCCGATGAATCGGAGATCTTCTGCAGGCGACAAGTCTTCCGGGGTGAGTAGTAAAGCTGCTCGATGGGCCTGAGGTTTCGACGCCTCTTGTGGGTCGTAGAAGCCTCTTTACTCGTAGGTCTCCTGAATTGCGCGGAAGAAAGCATTTTCCCAAGTTTCCCCTCCATCTCCTTGTGGACAATCTTTGCCGTCGCTCTTTTACGTTCCATAGCCTGAAAACAAGATCAATATCCAAATATTTAATAATCTGCAAATTTGTATTTGTATAAATTTGTATACCCTGTATACCCTGCAGAAGGTATACTGATTTTAGTCAGAAGTGTGCCACGCTGTGAAGGAGACGTTTCTGACCCCATAAAGTATATTTATTCTTGATAATTCTGTGTTTCTTGACATATATTACTTTAATATTTCAGAATTATCCTATTTAAATTTTAAAAAATCGGAATCCTATATCATATTTTTAGCTACCATTGGAAGTTTCGCAAAATTTATGTCGAAAACAAAAATCGTTTTATTTCTTTTTCGGCAAAGCGCATACGCTAGTAAAATGAAATGTAGCATAATCTTGATATTTCTCTGATTATCTTAAATTTTCCACAAGTCGAAAAGTTCTGTAAATATTAGGACTCTAATTATAGCTTATAGTCTGATCATATTCGGAATGTAAATGGAAACGGTGTGACTATCATTGCCTATTCCTTATAACTGAAAGGGTATATTAACTTCGGCTTGCCGAAAATAACTTTCTTTCTTGTTCTTATAGAGCTCTGGTAATATTATATTATTTTATGAAATTTCAATAAACAAATAAATAATGAATGATTTTTACCCACCTTGAACATCTGATTGTGGTCGTCCACAATGCTGTTGATGTTGACTAAGGAGTACCGCATCTCGATATCGCGCACTTCCTGCTCCTCGTTGGGCGCCAGTTCCAAGCTGGTGTTAATGCTCATGGACGATCCGTATGACCCGTAGGTTAGCCGCTTGCGCTCCTCCCGTTCCAGTCGCTCCGCATTCATCTCCTGCTCGATGAGTTTTTTGTACAGGACGCTGTTCATCCTGGCATCCTGCGACTGGCGCCGGCTGTGGGGCGTAGCGCTTCTATTCCCTGGAAGTCCTCGCATCCCGAAAGGAATGAGTCGTGTGCTGAGCCGCTGCCTGTTCCACAGGTTTTTCTCCAACAACGTGTCCACCTGGCTAGCCTGCTTAGACTTGGCAGGATCGCTTTCTACAACATTGAGCATTGAATCTCGTGGAGGCTGTATCCGAGCAAAGTGCATATCGCTCACGATGCCCTTGAGAAACTCCAAATACTTCGCGGTAAGCATTTGCTTAACCTCATCTAGACTGACGCCCGATTCCATGAATTCACTGTGAAGGTTTTGGAGGTTGGCCCACATCGGGTGGCGCCCCACTGTCTCCATAAGTCCCTTGACATCCGCCACAAACTCTATAATATGGTTATTTTCTATGACGTCCTTGAGTAACCTCTGCAAGGGCTTGTATTTATTGTCTGATATCAGGTCTTTCATAGCGAACCTTCCGTGGCTGGGGTGAAGGAGGTCCGCCAGGTAATGCTCGTCCGGGGTCTTATCGTGTCGGTCATAGCCATAAGTATGGTCTCGTAAAGGATCAAAGAACTTCTCAAGATCATCTGGCAGAGCCTCGTAGTTGAATTCGTAGGGCTGGCGCATTTTATCCTTGGAGGGGGATCTGGTGTTTCGGGGTTCGTCACTTGGGATTACAGTTTCCCGAGTTTCCCCAATTTGAATATGGGGCTGATCGCCATCGGTGGTTGGAGTCTTCTTTTGCTTGATATCGGTATCGGAAATGCTCCTTGGAAGGAACCTCTTCGATTGCCTTCGACTGTTCACTACTGGATCGCTGACTGACCAACGATTTTGGATTTTGGATTTTCTCTGTTGCTCTGTTTCCTGATCACTAGTTCTGATGTACATAATGTCCTTCTTGAGAGACTGATAGTGGCTCTCGTCCTGTCCCCTTGGAGGAGCAACACGCAGCTTTTTGGGTAGCATTAGTGGTGTGCGGATAGACCTACGGACACTCTTCCGTGGTCGGTTGGACGCTAAAATTTTGTTCAGCGAATCGCTCAGAGATACAACACTATCGCTGGCGAATTCTTTTTGGGAACCGCTTTTTTCGGCTCGTCGATGTTTAAGCTTACCCAACAGATATCCATCCTCTGAAAAACGAGAGGCTGGATCCATTACGTTCCGGTGTTTTGAATGATTTTTTTCTTCACTTGCTTGGTCGAACGTTAGATCAACTATAACATCTATTTGGGAAGCGCTGCTATCGGCACGTATCTTATGTCCCTTCCTGTGTTTACCCACCATGGCGCCTTTTCCGGAATCAGAGCTAAGATCAACCTCTCTGGAGTAGGTTGAGCTACTCGAACTGCTGTAGTAGCCTTTGGGATGGTGCCCCAATTTCTTTTTTCTTACTTGGTGCCTCATAAAGAGGGGAAGGTCGCCGAACAATCTAGAGACTACATTTTTAGGTTTCATTAAGGGGGCCTTTTTATGTTGTAATACTCCTGAGGCAGCTGCGTTCTGTCTGCCACGATGGGAAATCGTTTTCTTTTTCTTTTCTTGTAAAAGTGCTTTTAGCTCATCTCTTATAACAATATCCACAAACTTTGTTTTATGTTTCTTCAACTTTTTTTTAAACTTTCGAGATTTTTTCGACCCTAATACCTCAGATTTTAGGATTTTCGGTTCTGGTACAGTGACCCCATCCAGCAACTTCTTCACATTTAACTGAACTACTTTTCTGGGCTTTTTTCGAATTGTTTTTTTGGGCAACTGTGGTTCGGAAAGTATTGAAATATCTGATAAGCCCAGTTTTTCCCTCATACTTATAAGACGTTCTTTTCTGATGGCAATCCTAGTGATTTTCGGCTTCCTAGAAACACGTTTTTTGTCTTTCCTTCTCTTATCGAATCTTATAAGTTCTCTTACCAATATCTTAAGTTCATCGAGAGATGGTTTCGTCGGATCCGGTTCTCTTCGCTTCCGGACAGCTTTCTTCTTTTTCCTCAGTTTTTTAACTTTTTTTGGAATGACGAGTTCATCTATACTGAGATAAATGGCATTGGACTTGGATTTCTTCTTCTTCCTAAGGGGCTTTATGGTTTTTCCGGGCGCGGCCTCTTCCAACTCCAAGTCACGTTTTGGTTCCTTGGTGACTAAATGATTCTTGATCTTTGCTCTTTTTCGTTGTACTTCAGTAATCCAAAAATGTGCAAAGTCTTCCATGTCGTCATCCTGGTTAGCCCTAACCCTACGTATCTTTCGGGGCCGCCTGCCCCGGATATCTGATAGGTACTTTCGAACCTCCTTGGCCTCTGCGTCCCAGATATCATCTTGACCCTCAACAAACTTATGGTACTGCGAACTGTTTTGCCACTTTTTTACCGCTTTTTCCAGTTTATTGAAGCACTTGTCCACCACTTGTTGTGGATGACGGCGCTTCTTCAGCTGCTTCCTCAATTGATGAAGCCTGCGATGCAGTCTTTTTTTCAGCTGCTCCTGGTGCCGAATTAAGCGACCTTGAAGCCGCAAAGCTCTTGACCAGTTGCGCAACCAGCTTTTATACATGGCCAGCATCCCGCCCACCGCCCTTCTCGCCTGTTCCCGCCTCTCCATCTCCGCATCCCGTTGACGCACATCTATCAAGTTCCGCATCCTGTGGAGCAGATGGTCCCGGATCCGGTGCATCACCTCCAGGCGTCGACGAGCCCTACGCCTGCGCAGCCGCAGCTCCTTCGCCTTTCGCCGAATCTGCTTCTTCAGCAACACCATCTGGGTACTTCGGTGCAGCAGAGGCACTTGCATTTTGTACTGATTGATTTTTTACTCCACTTAATGATGTTTATCCACTACCAGGATATTTCTGATTTGTGTAAAAAATAGTTTTCCAGTGACTGGGTTGGGACATCTAAAACTGTCATCAATGTATAAAAAGCTAACTGACTACTACATACTCTCTAGTAAGCTGGCAACCATTTCTCATCCATAACCGATAAAGGTGATCAAAGTATGTACATTTTCATAATGCGGATACATTTATTTTAAGTATTATAGAAATCACCGGTGAGTAAATGCTAGGGGATCTTTTACCACCTCTTATCGGACAATGTAAGTCCCCTGGTCGCTAGGGGAATCCGGAGCGAAGCGTCGCTCTGCCTACTGATAAGGAAATCACAAAGCATCCGAGGTGGTTCACAGGCGGTTTCAGTGGGAAGCACCCGGTCAAAAATCGATCGCTATATAACGAACGGTGATCTGATCTCAGCATCGACAGTCATCAGTCAGCAGCTAAATCATTAAGATCAGCAGCAGATCAATAAAGCAAGATGAGCAAAATTGTTTCTTTGATCGTGGTAGCCATTTGTGTGCTTGGAGCTTTCGCAGCGGCAATGCCTCAGCGTCCTTTGACCCAACCGCTGATCTACTATCCGCCACCACCAACTCCACCAAGGATCTACAGAGCACGGCGCCAGGTTTTGGGTGGTTCTCTGGCCTCAAATCCGAATGGCGGAGCTGATGCCCGGTTGGATCTGAGCAAGGCCGTGGGAACTCCTGAGCACCATGTTGTTGGACAGGTGTTCGCAGCGGGCAACACCCAAAGCAAACCGGTAGCCACTCCCGTAACCAGCGGCGCCACCCTGGCCTACAACAAGTGAGTCTTTAAAAGATTACACCCCGATATTTATCCCAGCGCTCACTAATGTTCCTTTTTTTGATCAGTCACGGCCACGGCATCGACCTGACCAAAACTCATACGCCCGGAGTGCGGGACAGCTTCCAGCAGACGGCCACCGCCAACTTGTTCAACGATGGAGTCCACAATCTGGATGCCAAGGCCTTTGCCTCGCAAAACCAACTGGCCAATGGCTTCAAGTTCGATAGGAATGGGGCTGCCCTGGACTACGCCCACATCAATGGCCATGGAGCCACCTTGACGCACGCCAACATTCCCGGGTTCGGTAAGCAGTTGGAGCTGGCAGGTCGAGCCAATCTCTGGCAGTCGCAGGACCGCAACACGAGAATCGATCTCGGCAGCACGGCCTCCAAGTGGATCAGTGGACCGTTGAGTGGACAGAGGGATCTGGGCGCCAACCTAGGAATCTCCCACTACTTTGGTTAAGAGAGGTCTACCATAAATTATTCTACACAATTCTTATTTAAAATGTTTCTTAATTCTTAATAGTTATTCAAATAAAATGTTTCTTCTTAAATCATATATTTATTTTTAATACATATCGAAAACATATCAAAAATTAAAAAAGAAATATTCTATGAATATGTTGGAAAATATTGGGATAAACATCTGGAAGTCACTTCAATTTTTAAAATACGAATTTTTAAAAGAACGAATTATATGAGTTAAATTTAGCAAATTAAATTTTTGAAATTAACATAACTACAGAAATCAAAGAAACAGCAATTAAAATAAAAGCCGGTTAGGAACTGGTAACTTAAAGACCCACAAATGCCCTGGCCTGCTGTTCACCTGCCTCCTTGAAAAGCTCCGCTGTCTTCAGAAGTTTTATGAAGCGCGGCGAGTACTCGGAGGACATTCGCTTCTCCAGGACCTCGTCCAAACTCGTCTGCTTGAGGACCTCCTGCAGACGGGCATTCCGCTGATGACGCTCCGCCGAATCGGCCATCTTCCTCAGGTAAACGAGGTCCAGGAGCAGTTCGTCGCGCACTCCAACTGCCGCCTGCTGGTCCTCCATCGGCAGATCCTCGTACTGGCGCAGAAGCTTCTTGACGATCCGTGACTTTTGGTTGATTTTACTCGGGTCGAGCAGGCGCACATCCTGGCTAAAGTCCTCGGCCAGGACTCGCAGGGAGCTCTGTCTCTTCTCGCGACACTTCTGCTCCTCGTTCGAAGTCTTCAGGATCAGGTCATAGAACTCCTGGAGATCTGGACGTAGGGGAATGCAGGCCCGTCTGCGCACCTGCTGATCGATGATATTGCTAATGGCCTCCATAGTGTCGCGCACCATGCTCTCCGTCTGATGGAGGTAATTCTCGGTCTTGTCGTTTCGGATCTGGTAGAAGTTCTTGGGCTGTTTCTGGGCACACTTGCGATTCCTCTCCAGAACTGCCAGTAAGCGATCCATGCCCGGATCATTCCCAACCGCCTCGAAGACGGCAGACACAATGTCCTCGGACATCTTGCCCGTGATCAGCTTGTCGTAACTATCCGATCGGGACTCAGGTGTATCTATACGCGGTCTGTGGCCAGGGCTGCGAAGAATATCGTTATTCTCCAGATCAATGAAGCATATATACATTTAAGTAGTTCAAAAATCATACCATTTGGCTGCTGTTTTGTGTTCCTCGTCTGAAGCTCCCTTTGGTACTTCTTTGGACGCTACACTGGGAGTTACTTTGGGGTTCACTTTCGGAGCTAGTTGAGAAGTCTCCTTCTTTTTGCTCCACTTAATGCTAGGCCTTTTTATATGACCCTCCTGCTTCCTTGGTTTCTCCTCGCTTTTGGGCTTAGCCTCATCGTCCCGATTGTTTTTGGTTTCGTCTCCGGCCTCGCGAATACGCCTTTCGTCCCGTACCTTAAGATCATCTAGATTATGCTCCACTTGCGCAGCATTTCCTTGAAGTTGGACATCCTGGTGATCGGAATTCGATGCTGGGCGCAACCTATTGTATGCGGGCAGCAGACTAATGGATCCATTGCCGTAAAACTGTTTAGTCTTCGGGTCACCGCACACATTGGCGTTGATGGAAACGTTGAGTTTCATGGCATCCGGGGCATTGCAAACATTCTCCGTGTGACTTGGGGCAGCTGGGGATGGCGTGGTTGTACCAGGATTAGAGGAACTCGATGGAGTCGTGCAGTTCGCAGGCAAAGTCGCCCCCGTAGTTGCATTCAGAGCTGGGGGGGGACTGACACTCGGAGTGATGGACACACATCTGGGATCAATGGTGGTCGAGGTCCCCAGAGCCGCCAAGTAAGGATCGTTCTTCAGTTGCTTGTTGAAGAAGGGTCCAAAGTAACGATGGACACCGAAGGACTTTATCGGTGGTGACACTGGCTTGATGGGCAATTGCTGGTTATTTCGTTGCATGGGCAGTTGCTGCTGAGGCATTAGCAATGGTTGATGTTGCGGCACATATTGCTGATGTACCGGCAGTGATTGCTGCTGTTGCAGTTGCTGCTGCGGTGTCTTTATGTTCTGCAGCTTTTGCAACTCATTAAAAAAGTGAGTTAAATTAAAACTAGCCTGGAAATTGGAAGATTGGTGACGCTGGCGGTTTAGGTCTTGTTGCTGTTGATTTTGCTCTTGTTGTTGCGGGTTCTGTTGCAACGGTTGCTGCTGTTGTTGTTGCAACGGTTGCTGCTGTTGCTGTTGCACCGGTTGCTGTTGCTGCTGTGGAAATTGAAATGGCTGCTGCTGCGCCTGAAAAGGTACATTGGGTCGCTGATTCATCATGGGCACCACATCCTTGGTGGGATCGTAGATATTTGCCATGGAATCGCCGTCCTGAATGGCTTCCAGATCCTCATAGTGCGCCAGTGTTTCATGACCCGGGTACGATTTGGCTCCCGAATCTTCGGCATCCGGTGTGAGCATGCCGTTGCCCAAGGTCCCGAAAGCCACACGATTGCCATTGTGGTCTTCAAAGTCGTCTAGCAGATGAACCAAGCGTTTGGCCACTGAATGTTGCCCACCCTGTGACTGGTGATCTTCTTGCTGCTGCTGCACATCCTGTTCACTATCCTGCACCGATCTTTTGGATCTTCGGTTCTGCCTGCGGAACCTGCGTGGCCTTGTTTGCCGCTTGCCGCGATCCTTCTCCAGGGACAGCTCGTTGGCCAGCAGCTTGACCACCGCATCGGGATTCACTTTTGGGACCGATGCAGCCGCCTCCTTGGGCTCCAGTTTATCGGTGTCCTCGCATTCCGATTTTTCCTCTGCCGGCTCCTGGAGCTTCAGCTTGATGTTCACTTTGACAATGCCGTCATCTTTTTCGGCATCCGCTTCCGCCTTTTCCACCTCCTCCGATTTGCACTCCGTATCGCAGTCGGGATTACTGTCATGTTTGTCGGGACTATCGGGTGTTTCCGGACACTCACGTTTCTCTAAGGTATCTTGCCTTTCGGATTTTGGAGCCACTACAGCGTCCAGTTTTGAATGCAGTTCACTGCTGGCGTCCAAGCTAAGTGCCACCTCCCTTTTTGAGGGCGACTCCGCTTTTGATCTAACCTCCGTAGCAGATTGAGAGTCATCGTTGAGTGTGGCTGCTATCAGCTTTTCCTTGTTCTTGGTTTCACGTTTTACTGGCCCTAGAAGTTTGGTCTCCACTTCGACCTCTGACTTATCCTCCAACTTTCCTTCGATGGAGGATACCTCAGCATCGAGTTTACTTTCTGACTTACTCAAAGCATCCTCCTCCAGTTTAACCTCGTCGTGTAAGTCCTCCAACTTAACCTCTTCATCAGAGGCCTTCTCTCCTGATTCCTGCTCCTTGACTGAATGTATGGCTTTGCCTTCCTTTATGTCCAGTATCCCAAGTTTTATAGCCATCTCATGGTCAGAAACGTTCTGATCCTCAGCCTTAAGAGGTAACTCTTGGTCATCTAGGGACAACGTATCCAAAACCGAGTCATCCTGTGGTTCCCTCTTGAAACGATCCAAGTCCAGGGGCATGCGATTACTCCTCTCGTAATCCCGCACATTGGTCATTTGTCGCTGGCTCAGAGGGTGAAAGCGATCGTACTGGGGCACCCGATAGTCGTAGCTCTGTGGCAGCTCCATCATTGGATTCGCCTCCATGACGGGGTTGATGGGCTGGAGGTACTCCAAGTTCTCGTTCTGCGTCATTATGCCATTTATTCCCATCGGCTGGTCCTCTTCATCGCTATTCTGGCTGGCCTCGAACTTCTGCTGCTGTTCCTCCTCCAGCTCCCTCCTCCGCAGCATGCTGTCCACCATTTGGTTGCGATGGATGTCCATTAGAGCGTTACTAGGCAGCGAGGGACCCAGACCCTTGAGCATCAACCTACTGCTGGTCTTGAGCTTGATCTCATTCATGGGATTGAAGCCACTACACGAGCTGCGTTTGAGCTGCTTGAGAGGAGCTTCGCTGATGCTGCCGGGCTTGGAGTACTTGGTGGCCTTCTCGGAAGCCTCCTGCTCGATCTTGGAGAGCTTGTAGTTGGCCTCGTGGGCCAGCTTGTTGGCCGTGGCGTGGGGGAAGGCCAGTCGGTTGAGGGTGCTCTCGTAGATCCCATCAGGAATGGGGTTATCACCGAACTCTGGCAACTTGTCCACCCATCCGGATTCCTCCACCTTCTTCCGAACATCCTTCGACTTCTCCCGCTTCTTGGCCTCCAGGCTCTCATGATCGCTAAGCATCTGCTGGACCTGCTTCAGCTTTATGTCCAGGTGGGTGAGCCCGGGGTTCTGCGGAGGCGTGGGAGCTTTAGTCACCTGGTACTTGCGAACAATGGTGTCGTCGGGCATCTCCTTGTACTTGAGCTTTACCTTGCCCATCTCGGTGCGCTCCATGGCCTTGGTGTGCTGGTCGATGACGTTCTTGCCCACGGATCGCTCCTGCTTGCTTCCAGAACGCTTCTGGTTGGCACTGCCCTTGGACATGCTTGCCTGGATGTCGCGGAACCAAGCATCCGCCGCCTCCTGCAGCACACGCTCCTCATCTGCAGAGGCCGATTTGGATTCGCCAACTGGGACCTGGGCAAAACTGGCCAGCATGTCGTCGATGGAGTTCCGCCGATCCCGCGACTGCTGCCTCTGATTATCCTGTTCCTGCAGACCGCCGTAGGAAGCCTTGAGTTCCTGCAATTCGGGACGCGCCTGCTCCACCGCGCGGCTGAAGCTGAGCAACTTGTCACTGCCCTCAACTGGGTGCTTTTCATCCGTGGTCGAGACCTCCTGGGAGGACCCAGAGCCACTGAACACCATCAGCGCCCACCAGAGTTGTAGGAAGATCATCCTGTTACGCAGCACAAGTTTTTTACGAAGAATAAATGGAATAGAGAGCACACTGGGTTCAAAAAACAAATAATTCGGTCTGAAATGAATGACAAAATCTTTCATTAGGCTGCTAAGAGTAAACCGAATCGTTGAGTTAAATATTGTAGTATTAGTTGTTGGAAAGTAATAAGTACAAGGAAGCGTTTTCAAGACAATGTGAAATAAATACCTAATGAAATAGGCCACATTTGTACTGTATGTACTATCTTATTTTGATATAAAATTCCTTTATCGCTTTTTTTTATAATCGCCTCCGTTGCTTAGCATGAAGAAAATATTACAATTTATAAGTACTTAATATTTTTGTTTTAGATATTTCTCGTATTTTTTATATTAATGAATGCAAAAAAATAAAATTTTATGAAGGACTGTTTCAATATACTAACGAAAATGTATTCGGTATGGATCCTTTAATAACAGTAACTGATTATAAGGAGGCATTATAAAAGTCATCAGAAATTTGTATAATACAGTTTAAGTTATCGGGTGTTGGAACGTAAAGTCTTTGTCTAAGTAAAATAAAAAAGAATCTAAATATATACAAATAAAAATACCTAATACATATTTTGCGATTGATTTTATATTTAAAATTGGGAACTAATGTTAATATGAAATTTTGGGTGTTGGAAAGTCTCCAACGAAATAGCTCCCCAAAAGGTAAAATTGAATGAAACAAGTACTAAGTAAGTAATATACATCTTAAATGACACTTATTTGTTAAGAAACCAAAATCATTTTTAAATATAATTTTTTAATGGCTGGTGTATGTTTACCCAAATTGTAATAATATGTTTTATTTTGAGTTGCTTATTACAATAGTATTTATTCCAAATCATGTGTGTCAAAGGTTCGGCACTATCTCATGTGCGGTTCCGGGCAGTGGAATTTAGAAATTAAATGCAATCACTTGATGGATATGCAATAGAAAAGTACGAAGCAATATTTAACTATTTCTTTTGTGTTCGTGTACAAAACGTTTAAACTTTACCTGTTGACTTTACGCTTTATTAGGCAAAACTCAGTTTATTATTGAAATTTATTGTATTGGCTGAAGGTAGAAGTTTACATTTCTCACCACAACCGTCTCGATCTCAACTGGTTTTCAGGACCGGGAGTCGGATCCTCAGTGCGGTGGCTGGCAACAGGTGTCTGCCGTGCAACTTTGACAACGTGGCGCGATAAGAGTCGCAATGTCACCAGTCCGCCCAGCCTCCCCCCCCCCCCCCTTGCAACACGCCCCTTCCGCCCGGAGGGAACTGCTGCATTGTGTCAAGTTTTTGCACACGTACGACGACTGCGCCGGCGGCTTCCGACAGCTGTTCAACATGAGATGTCCTTTGTTGCCCACCCACACACGGGTAAATGATTCTACCCCCGACTCCCATCGGGAGTATTGTTTCCTCGCCATGTAAATCAGATTTTTGTTTTATACCAAAACTTTTGCCCGTGGAAGGGGAAATGGAAATGGAATGGGATGCGCAGCGACAATAACATTTCCTATTTCCTTCTGTCGCTGCGAGTGTGTGTGGTATCCTGCACGTTGTCAATGCCAAAGTCGGCACAATGCGCCGCTCGAAATAATTGAAAATAATCAAACACTCAGTGGGAGCAACTGCAGCACCCAGACTATATAGTACCATCCAGAGCATCCATAGCATCCATGGCACCCAGGAGCAGGCAGAACTAATGTAATTAGCGGGCACAGAGCGCAGTCGCTTTTGATTAAAAGTTTTTCCATCCACCACTTGATAATCCTCCGAACAATGCATTGAAGCAGGCAGTTTGAATAAACGCATTGTGTGTTGCTTAGTTTGTAAAATTAATGTACGGGGGAGTGGGCGGAGTGTATTCTCTTTTCTTTTGATCCAAAGATGCTGAAAACAGACTAAACCGCGTTTTTTGATTGCGTTATATGGGGAGTTATAGTTTCGCTTTTGACTGACAGAGTTTGTTGCTAGGACAATGCTCTACTAAGTTCATTTACATTTGAGTTTAGGGGATAAGATCGAAGTTAATTAGTTTCCAAAGATTTCCAAATTAAAATTAAATTTCTGTATTATTTAATCTACAACTTGCCATATGAGCAAAATTAAATTCTTCCAATTTCCTCTACATTATGCATGCAAACGAACCCTCAAAACCTCGATACTAATATTACTCATTCGTAAAATGCCCCCTCTGACAGGACCTGCAAAACAAGTGAAATAACAGGCCTCCAAAATGCTCAATATTGACAAATTGCGGCAAATTCCCTCTGCAGATTAGCCGATAGTTCACCGCCAAAGAATGTCGGATTAATCTCACGCAAAATGCGTCAAGCGCCGCTGGCCAATAAACAATATAGCGATAATTTTGCGGCATGTAATTAAATTACTTAGCCAGTTGCAGTGACAGGACGCAGGATGGAGGACGCAGGACGCAGGATGCAGGACGCAGTGGCGCGATATGCACCGGACAAATCCTTTCAACGGGCCGCGAAGTACCGATGTGGCTGAGCCCGGGGACATATTTCCATAAAGCCACCGCAGCCACCGCTGTCAATATGCGGATTAACGCATCAATTACACGGACAAGGACGAAGGACGAAGGACGAGCGATACGTATTCCGGGGAGTATGCCCGCGGGGGAGGCTAGCTGTTGCTCGCAGCGACAAAAATTTCATTTCGCCGGGTAATTTAATTAATTGCAGAATTTCACAATTTCGCAATCATGCCGGCCCGCCTGGTGAAAACAATTTGAATTCCGCCCCGGCTCTCCGGCCGTAATCGTCATAATCCCCGATTCTAGTCGTTGCCGTTCGCAGTTATGATGTGCATGAAGTGCGAATTCGACCATTGCCCGTTTCCCGGACACTGGGCAACTAAATTAATTCGATAATTGACTTCCATTGCCTCGCCCGGAACCATTGTCATCCCTTCCGGACCCCCATATCCCATCTCCATCTCCGTCTCCATCTCCAGCTCCGGGGACCGTGACCATGAACTGCCGCTGCTCGTTCACTTTTTATGGGCGGCGCACACAGAAAACATAAAAACGTCTGTTGCGTGTTGCATATGGAAAACTGCCAAAAGTCGGACCGAAAAAAGCGGCGAGCCCAAGGAAAGAAGTCGCCGAAGGAAAGGAAATGTTGCCAAGCAGTAAAGGCCAGGCTAATGGCACTGGCATGACAGCCGGAAGAGACGGACAAGAAAACATGTTCGGGCGGGCAGGCCGGCATCAAGGAGCAAGGAGTCCGGTCAGGAAGTTTTTATAGTTGTGCAAGTGCATGTGATTGCTTTATGAGCTCCAGATGAAGTTGCCGGCACGTCCGCGGCCCGGCTGTCATTTAGTTAATTATAAGCAATTAGCAGCGGATGCTGCCAACGGGAATTAAATATTAAGCGCCTAATGCACCTATTGCATATTATCGGTCACGGGCGGAACATTCTCCAAACGGCTCACCAGCTGCCTTTGAAAAGTTTTCTTTAGCGGTCTTAGGCAGGATACCCACACAAAAATGTAGTGGTCAATCAATGGAGAAATGCGAATTATTTAAAAACAATTGTATTTCGACTGTCATTAGTAAGACCTACAACTTACAGCTGTGTAAAACTACTGTGGGTTTATCCTGAATAAATGGTTTCCTTAACAGAAATGTTTAACAAATCATAGTATTTGAATAACATTTCATATTTTAATTTTATTATATCTTTTTTTTGTTATCGAAATAGTACTGAAAACCGTTAGTTAGAAGATAGACAAGATAGACATTCTAAATTGCTATTCAAAAATCATTTAACTTTACTCCAGAGTTTATATGAACTTGACTTATATCATTGCTATCTGAACCAGTAATTAAAGATCAACAACCTGCGAATTGCGTAAAGTTAAAGTAAGGAAAACAATCTCTCCGACGGCTGATCTCTCTGCAGAGGCGGCTCCTGGTAATAAAATAAAGCATTTTACTATTGTTGACTCATTTGAGAATTGTCTGTCTGCCTGCGTATGGGAATCGGGCGGAGGAGTGCAACCTGCAAAGGTAAACCAGAGGAACGGACAGACGTTCTGGGAAGAAAGCAAGAGTCAGTGTCGGTGGCATTAATTTGTGCTATTTCCTAGAGCGAACGGATGGTTTTCGGTGGGCCTCGGGGCAACGCGTAAGCAGATGAAGACGGTGTTGATGATGATGCCAGGATGCTCCGGCAACCAGAAACCCACCATCCAGCTACCAGGAGCAGCAGCATTTGTGGCCATGATAAAAGTTGCATGAGCTTGCACTGGGTATTTTATGCTTCTTTCCGCCGCCTGTTGCCTTACTGCTTTTACACACAAAAAAAAAATGTAAAATATATGAAGTAATTGTTAAAAATGCACCGACCTATCAAATATACCACGATAATCGTAATGAAAAATCAATAGACTTGAAATAAACCTCCAACAAATGGAACCAAAAAAAAAGCAGGTCTCGAACTCAGTCCAGAAAGTTTGGAGCAGAAACAGTTTTATTACGATTTCAGTTGTGAGGTTACTAAAGAACTCGAACTTTCACATTAAAAAAAGGAAAATACTAGAATATAGAATATACTATTTGTCGAAAAGAATGTAATAGGTAAAAGATGCGTTTCCTGCCCTATAAAGTATGTATATTCTTGATCAGGATCACTAGCCGAGTCGAACAAGCCATGTCCGTCAGTCCGTCTGTATGAACTATAAAAGCTATCGAGTACAGAAATTTACTGATCATTTTATTTTAACCATTTTTAATATGAAATTATATAAGAGTTGTTGTAAATTATTAAACCGAATACACCGCGATCCTGTTTTGCTGTCTGTACGGATTTTTCGAAGGAGGAAAAAGGTGGAAAAGCTCCGGTCTTCGGCCAGTCAGACGCGTTCCCAAGTTGCAGTCAAATTTTCATTTTTCCACTCACGTATTTCGATTAAATTCTCATTTTGGTCATAATTTTCCAGTTTTTACGTTGGCCTCGGCATTAAATTGCAACTCGGCTCCCTGGGACGGATGTGCGCCCCCATTTCCCCGTCCTGGAACCCCATCTCAGCTC